TTAATATTCTAACGACCTTTTGAGTTTCTCAACATATAATTAATAGTCGGTCCACTCTTGGCCCCTACAAAAAAAAATGGCACCTCTTTTGGGAGACCATAATTTTGTTCACTCTAAGTTTGATACATCACTTGGTACCAAGTCTACTACCAAAATTATACGTCCATCTTTGTGTGGCTCACACACTTTTGAAATAGCTTACTATAACTATCCCGATGGAAATTCATCTTCGTGAATTATGATTAAAAATTAACCTTTGGGATGAAGGCTCTAATGCCAACATGCAATTTGAATCATTTTACTGACAAATTGGTAATGGAGGTCGTGGAATACTAAATATATTTAATTCCAATCAAGAAACTTAGTATAATTTAATTAAAAGATTTTTCTAAGCATGCTCTTACTAAAATTAATTATTCTTGCACAAGAAGTAACAAATTAATTTAGGCACATGCATAATTAGAGGCAATAATAAAACAAAGAAAGAACATCCAACTATTATGGCCACTAATTAGATTCCAACTCCAATTTGGAAACTAAAATCCTTTCCTTGTAGGATTGTAGCTTCCTGTGGACATGGAATTTATTTTTAATGTGACTCACACTTCCTTCCAAGAACGAGCACTCGCCAACGCCGCCCTTGCCAGACTATAGCTGTCGGACTACCATTGTCGCTGGAAAATGTCATCGTCGTGGAAAAAATGCCGTCGGGTAGTCGCTCGCGCCAAAGCTCATCCTCGAATCCTCAACATGCTGCAATCGTGACTTCGTTATATCACCAGGAGCTCAGCGTGACGAATGCATCAACTAGCAACTGCGTGTCCCACATCACTAGGCGCTACGCGTGGCGAACGCTCAAGCCTATGCAAACAAATCACTTTCTCATGTCTCCCGCGTTTGCTTGACCGCGATACGCATCCTTTTTCCATACCGCATGCGCACCCGTTCCCGTCATTTATCGCACTTGGTCATTGCGCATGCCTCAACAATGCCCGCACACGGCAGAAAACTGTCAGTGGGCACGCCAGTGTGCGCACGACTCCTCGTGCACCGGCAACCATGGGTCGCGGTTTAGCTCGTGCACCAACTCCTCATAAATTCTGGCCTGTCCTTGATCTTTTAGTTAGTCAATAAATATAACACAACAATTACATAAATCGACCTATGAACCACGCAATGGTCATATATGAATGATTCTAGTAAAATGGTAAACTATGTGGCATCCCACCACACGCTTATAATAATACATACATTACAACGAAAAATTCTCCGACATGTCCAAGGCTTAATAGTTAGACATACATGCATAAATAAAGCACATACATACGAGCCATAATAGTTAGACAAAGAATTCTTTCAAACAAAGTGTAAAATTCTAAACATAATTCTAATTCGAAGTGTACACAAAAGCCGAATTAGTCGGGCCCTGATACCAGTTGTTGGTTCAATTAAGAATGTCGACTCATGTGCACATTCAAATACTTAATGAACTGAATCCTAATGCAGTGGAATTTCTTTTAGGATTGAGGACTTACATTTTAAATTATTTTTTGCCCATTCTGAGACGTTTACACAGCCTGCGGGTGCAGTGCCCCGTTCAATTATTAAGAGCCGGTTTTTTTATTCTTGTGTTAGCTTTGCTTATGGCTCGTTTTGTTAGCTCGACTGAAATTCTTTTAAGTTCAATAAGATAATTTAGATGTCCTCATCTATTTAATCCCTTAGAAGAAATATTTTTTGTAGATGTCCTCGTCCACTTAAATTATTTCAAAATTATTATTATTGCTAAGAAAAATTGTTCGAATTTCTAAGTGCAAGTGCAAAGCCCTTTGTGAGCCTTACTTAGCCCTTTTGTCCAAGCAAAGTCCAAGATGTTTGAAGCCTCATGTCGGCCATTGTTTCTCAAGAAAAATCGACCCTTTTTGGTGAAAATTTTGGCCCTTGCCATTAGATTTTCCCTTCAAGTTTTTGGTTCAAAATAGCCCCAAAATAGCCTTATTTTTTGCCTTAAGTCACACCAAGAAGGAAAAGACATTACTCTTTCCATAAAAGCTTGTTTCCTCTCCTACAAGGCTTAAACTTTGAACCATAAATCTCCCATCTTCGCTTATATTTTTTGAGCAGTAAAACAAACTACCAACTCCATTAAAAGTCCCTCAAGATCTCCCAAAATTATCCTCTCGCATCACCTTTGTGCCAACGTCCCGAACAGCACACACGCAAGCGCCGAGAGCTGCAGCCGCCCGCGAGCAGCACCTGGCCGAGAGCTGTGTGCACCAACAGCGAGAGGACCCCTGTCCGTGTTCGAGAAGCACCCGAGGCCGTGCGAAGCAGCCAAGATCCACCATGGCTGAGGAGATCCGAGAGTAGCCGTGTCCTGTTTTTTTTCGTCCAATGCCACAAATCCGATTTCTCCTTTTCCTTGTAAATTCTAGAAAGAGGTACTGGTTCTAAGATTGTTTTTACTCTTTGGCTTAGATCTAATTCGAAAAATATAGATTCAATTGAGTTTAAAGTAAAAGTGTTGGATCTTTAAAGCTTCGGAAAACCTATGTGTTTTATGTGAAGAATTGATGGACTTTTGGAACTCTCATATGTGCCTTTAGATTGATTTTATTGATTGAGAAAAACCAAATATTTGTGATGTTGCCTTGGAAATATTTGTAGCCTTAGCCTCATAATATTGTTGCCTTGGATTGGTGTTGGACCCTTATTGTTGTTGTGCCTTGAAACATTGTTTTGAAACCCCACGGTGAGCCACAAGCCTCATACAAAGCACTGGCTGGGAGCAGCCACGCGGGCGGTGCTTGAGTGCACACGCCCGTGCCGAGAGACGGCTTGAGTCATGCGTGCAGCCGAGCAGCGCGACTGGGCAACGCTGTCGTCGGTGATGCCGTGCGCAGGGACTTAGCGCGCAGTCGCGTCAAGTCTGCTGGAAACCTTCAGGTTGCTGGCGAGCCACACGCGTGCCGCGTAGCGTGTCACGATGCAGTGTTGCCAAGAGCCCCGAGAGCTGCCATGGACAGCCTGTAGTCCCGCATGCAAGCAGCATCCCGACATCGCTATACGCGTGCGAAGCTCCCCAGGCTAGCGTACGGCCTCAGGCCTCGACCCTGCAGCATGTCTTCGAGCAAGCAAGCGCATCCTAGTGGCACACGTCCATCAGCACCAGTGTGTGCACAGCTTCTCGTGTGATAGTGCCCGTGCACCCGTGATATGTCCCAGACGTGTAGCCCCATGACCAATTGTGCATCGAGACCGGCCCGCAGCACACTGAAAGCGCTGAGGCACGACGAAAGAAGCACACAAGCGTCGCGCCACCCACAGCCCGCGACCAGTTCCAGTGCAGTCTGACCCGAGCCAGCACCAGCCCACGAGGACCCGCGAGCCCAAACTCAAACTGTCGAGACCTCGAGTATCTCTGTGAAACATCTACATTTTCTGCATCATCCGATCTGAGGTGGGTGTTGCTAAACTACTATTCCTTTATTCTTTATAATCGCATGATTCTATGTTCGATTTATGTATGTTAATTATTTGCTTGTGTGGCGTGCCTGTGTGGTGGTAACTATTTTCCTGTGTGGCGAGCCTATGTTGCGATATTACAGTCCGTGCTTCCGTCGATAGTGATGTTGACGGTAAAAGTGTGTACAACTCAGACGGCCGTTCGTTGTAAACTGGGGATGCGACCCCTGTATCCAATGGATAAGGTGTAGATGAGACTGATTGAGATTGAATTGACGGTTATTATTCATGTTCATGTTGAAGATATATTATTTGTTATTATACTTGATAATTGAATAGTTTTCGACGGTGAACATGTTGTTTCCTCACCCCCCATACATTATCATTATTTTTAGGTTGAGTAGTTGGGCGTGGACACGAGGAGACGAGGGTGATCAAAGTATTTTTTATTTATTTTTGTTGCTTCCTGGAACCTTTTTGGACTTAGTGTCATTTTCGATTTTATCTACTGTGTGTCGAGACTATGACTGTTTGTTCGAGTATTTGACTCTGTATTTCAAAACTTTATGAATGGGAGTTTATTTATAGCTCGAGTTGTTCAAAAGAAAAGTTTCTCAGTAGTGCCCGAAGAGTTTTAAAAGTGTTAAAGCTTTCAAAAAAGTCAAATTATTTATGAAAACTTCATGTTATCCAAAGACAAATAGCGGGCGCTACAACGGCGATGGATGAATTATGAGATGTATCCTCTTTCGCATGTCCTCATCGTGCACTTGCCTTATAGAGTCATCGACCGTTGCCCCTTGGTTACCGGGGAATTCTGAGCGTCGCGAGGGATTGTCGAGGGAGCTGGTCGTGTGCGTGAATCGTCGAGTCACGTTGTCGCATGCCTGCGTGGCTAGGCCACGTCACACTACTTGTTGCAGGTCACCAAGTAATGCTTCACGTGAAGATAGCATAATGTAACACCACGAATACTTTTACTATTTATGGAGCTCGACTTTATTTTCATAAATAGCCAATTTTCTTATTTGATGCATTTAATTATTATTACTATTTGCACTAAATCGAGTAATTAGTGTAAGCCATGGAGAATTTATTTGGATTTTAATATTAAAATCGGATCTAGTTAGCCCAAGTATCGGTTTTATTTTAGGAAAAAACCGAGCATTGGAATAATCGAAATTTTACTAAGTCGGGTCGAAGCCCAGATGAGCTGAGCCTCGACCCAAATCATTCTCGAGCGAGTCCATTTTATTCTGGCCCACTTTAATAAATCCAGCCCATGTTCGATTTTATTCCGACCCATTTATTAAATCGAGCCTATAGTTGATTTTTAAAATCCCCCGGCCCACTATTATTTTATTCAGTAAACTAATTAAATTAGTCAAAGTACCGGTCAATTTTAATTTGACCCGAACATTTAATTCCTAAGTCATCGTTCAATTTTTACTAGCCGATTTTAAAAGCCCGATTTTAAGGCCCAATAGCCACATCTAACCCTAAGTCTCCTACTTCCCTATAAATAGAACATTCCATCATCTCCCAACACTCCTCATTCCATCTTTAACCACCCAAAACTCTAGATCTATCCACCTCCATAGCCTCAAGCACAAAATCCAGCCATTTGCACTATTTTTCGACGAAGCTCCGACCTCCGGCCAGTCACAACCCCACGCCGGCAAGCCGTTACACCAGTTGCTCCACCCAGATCCCAGTCTTCCATGCTGTTCACACGCCGCTGCCGTCGGGCCACGTTGGTTCCAAATTAGTCCCGCACGCGCGCTGCCTGTATGCCGTCGACCAGGCCTGTACCATCATCCGCATGCACCCGTACAAGCTTATCCACAACTCCCGTACACCCTGCACGGTTGAATCGTCCCAGCAAATGCGTGTTCGAGCCTGTCCGTACACCGACTTTTCCAGCAGCCAACGCCCATCACCCGTCCGCACCGACGCTACCAGCAGCTCCCGTCCACGACCAGCTGCACCAGCCGACCACATCCGTGACCCAACGAGCACCCGAGCCACTTCTATCCCAGCTGCGTCTAAACTGACCCTCCCAGCTTAGATTCAAGATGACCCGGGTCCGATCCGTTAGCCGATTCGATTTCCTCCATCCCGATCTGTTCCCGATTTTCTAATTCGAGCCGATTCGAGGTAAAATGGCTTGAACCCGACTCCAATGGCTTAAATATGTTTAATGAGATGTTATGAAAATGAAAAATTGAAGAGTTGAGTGAGATTTCATTTATTGGGAATTTTACGAGCTTGAAGTGGCGATTTTTTGATCTCTTAATATAAAAGTGATTAAATGGTGTTTTAAATTTGAAAATCATAATTCGACGTTGTAGTTTGATACTCATACACCAAGTACCTAGAGTTGCACATAGCCAAACTAAACAGTATTTAAAGTAGATTCAAACAGATTGCGGAAGCCGTATAACAAAACTTGAACCTTCAGGAGAGCTTCCCACTCTCCCTTCGGATCTCTTTCATTAATGCAAACAATACAAACATTCTTTAAGGGCTTACAGTATAAACTCCCTCTACACTCTACTTGAACAATGATTTGCACTATTACTTATCCGACCACAACTCCCTTGTGGTTTTTCTAGTTTGAATCCCTCAAATTAAAACAGAATGAACCTCCATTCAATCTGTATTTTTCTTTTTATAATAACTAATGTCGCATACTCAAATCACTCACCAAGATAAACCCCGAAATCCCAATTCCCAAAAATTATCTCAGTAAAAATAATATCAAAAGACAATGTACTCCTTAATGCGATCTCGTCATCCTTTTATCCATAACTTCATATGGTAAGATCTTCTTCTATCTTCCCAGCCAATTCATGTCATCACTTTGGAAAGTCCAGGTTGCTCAATCAGATCTCGTGCATATGGTAATACGTGCACATGGAAGGTGGTTGTAGATGGAATGTGATTCCCGATCCCTTTTTATTAGACCTGCCATAATAAGACATGTATAGATATAAATCAATAAATGAAATAATCAAAACTAATCCTAGTAATCTAAGAGAGACTTCCCTTAATTATCTTTGTGATGTCTGAACCTGATATCAGATGAAGCTTCGTAGATTTACTGCCAATCATCCGAACTTACAATCTCCCCCTTTGGCAGATAAATCTAAAACCTTTCACAAGAACCTGCATAACAAAAGTCTTGCATACATACAGAATCTATTCTAAAAGGATATGCAGAAGAGTGGTTGTTCATTTGAACAACATAAGATCCTAAACAATAACCATCATTAGAAATCAATTCATAATAACCATTCCTAAGTAGTCATCAAAAACAGAAAATAAAAATAGTTCATGACATCACAAAACATAGCAGATAGTTTTTAAGTTTAGCAAAACACAGCATAAGCCAGAAGAATATCCACGAGTCTAAGTGGATCCATTCTCATCCTCAGTCTCCTCATCATCAGAACCACCTTCTTTCGATCCAGCTTCAGTGTCTTCCTCTGAAGCAGCTTCCTCTTCCTCATCCTCAGCATCAGAGTCCACATCATCTTCCTCAGCAGCATCTGAACCTTCTTCAGACTCCAGCGCCTTCTCCTATTCCTTTGCAACGACAACTTTTTCTTTTCCCTTAGCCGTGGCAGCGGCAACCTTGGACTTCTCCCCCTTACTACCAGCATGCACCTTTTTGTCTCCCCCTTACCTGCAGCAGCCTTCTTCTTGTTCTTCCCCATTTTCGATTTAACTGCCAAAGGGGCCCGCTATTTCATCGCCCCCAGAACCTCCTTGTAATACCTATTTTGGTCAACAATTTTCTTTTCCATTCCAGAGAGAACCGCCACCTGTTGGTTCAGAAAGCCACACAACTGGGAAGGCACATCTGAAGCCTTAACCAGGTAAGGGCGAGGAGGAGCAAATTTGACACCAGCAAGGGCAAGAGGCTTTAAGACAGGAGAGAAGTTATCACCCACACGTAGGTTCATTTTAACACCGACTTTTGAATAAAATGGCACAAATAGTCGAAGGGAAGAGCAGCAGCTTGAGTGGTTTGGAGATTTCAGCAAAGGATACCACAATGTCAAAGATAATAGAACCAAGGTCTAATGGAACACCGCTAAGAATACGATAAATGACACGGGCCTGAGTAAGAGTAACAAATTGCTTGTGCGTGGTAGGTGTCCAATTAGATTCACCTATTTTCTATAACGCATTCGCAGGAGGAGTGATGCTCTTCAAAAATTAGCCCAAGAGCAAACCACTTGCTCAACTTCCCACCTGTCAGTGTACTAGCAGCCTCATCCAGATCATCAGTCAGAAGAGAAAGAGAAGAACCTTCAGCCAATCCAAGCACTGAGTTTATAGCAGACGGTGAGAACATAACAATGTAGTTTCTTACAAACACCCTTTGAAACTTCGAGGAGGTTGGGTCAAAAACAGAGATAGACAAATTTGAATAAAATTCACCAACAATTTGTAGACAGTACTTTCCATCATTAGTAACAGAACTCTGAAGTCCAACCTTTTTCAAAAGTTCAAGTAAACCAAGTTGTTCAAAATGCTCACCGACAATTCGGTTCAGGGCGAAATTTCATTTCAGAGAATATATCGAAAAGTGAGTCTCAGACAAAGGGGAATAAAATTCACGGCAAAAAGGCATTACCAATGTCAAGAGGACTATCAAGGCCATCATCTTCGGTATCTTCAACAACTTTCTCAACCACAAGAGGAGAAGGTTCCTTGTCGGTAGCAATAGGGTTAACGGATTTCTCTGGTCCAGTGGCGAACTTGTCGATTTTCTTTTTCGTAGAGTCACCATTATCAACAGCATCAGGCAATGACTTTCCACCAGACTTGGAAACGGAGTCACCAGGCGATGTCAGTAGCAATAGAGTTAACGGATTTCTCTAGTTCAGTGGTGAACTTGTCGATTTCCTTTTTCGTAGAGTCACCATCATCAACAGCATCAGGCGATGACTCTCCACCAGACTTGGAAACAGAGTCCTGACTCTCCACCAGACTTGGAAACAGAGTCCCCAATAACAGTAGGTTCAAACAAGGTGATGGCCTTCTTTGCCTTTTTTTTATTTTTCGGCAGTAACCGCTGGGACCTTCTTTCTCTTTTTAGGAGACTTAGCGGCGGGGGGTGAGCCTTTTCCACCTTTTCACTACTATCTGCAATGTTGGGAGTAGCCACTTTTTCCGTGGAGGAATTTTTAGGACTTGGGAATACCCTAGTTTAAACATTCTGAGATGGTTGAGCCTTTTCGGTTGCCATGTCAGAGGAAGTTGGGTTTGGTGGAGTTTCAGTGCTCTGGCTTTGACGAGTTGAATGCCGAGAAGGTTTAAGAACATCCTTCTTCGGTTTCACTTTTTCTGCTTTGGCTTTCGGCATAGTTTAAAATAGAAGAAGGTATTTGACATAGATATGGAAGATTAGAAAATTTTGGAGAGATGCGAAAATCAGATGATTGATGTGAGAGAGATGATAGATGATATGATAGATATAGGGAAACCAAATCGCAGTTACCGAGGAAGGAAGAGATAAGATAGACAGTTCAACTTTGCATTTTGAACTTCAAACTTGTGCACCAATTAATACCAAAAACCGTTCCCTCCAAATATAAATTAACCAAAATTTTGACACGACTTACCATATATAATTGTAATGAAGTTTCAAACAAAAATATGGTCAGATTTTGTACCAAAAATAATTTTGACACAAATTCGAAACACAATTTTTCACAAGGAAAATTTTATGCACATGCCTAAATATTTTAATGATCAAACAATAACCAAGATACTCTCAATCATACAATGTCGAAAAATATTTTCATCAATTTTTCTAAAGATCTTCCCCAATCAATTTTTAAAGAGCTCGACACTAATAAGATGATGAGAATTTTTACGAAACCAACTCAGCCATTATATGTCCACTTTTATACACCATGGAATTAAAATAAGTTCATTCATCATTTTCTCTTAGCAAAGAACGAAATTTTCATTCGCAATTCAGCCCCAATACTAATGATGAACTTGCTTCGTTCTATAAACTTCCACACCGTTTCACTTACTAACATTAACTATACGCTAATGTCAAGCCCATTACTTAAAGTGTGAATCATCCAGCAAAAAGTTTCTTTTGAATATGCTGAGAGAGCTTTGAAGGATGGCCAACCTTATTTCACCAATGATCCTGCATCCACAAGGGATGACTACTTGCAGCTATCACCCCTCAATTATTTCTAAGAACGTAACTTGTTTCACATATGATCATGGAAACACCTCATGTGATAGTTGCCAGATGCCTACTTTCACGAGAGCATCTCTTACAAGTAGTTTTTAAATGATCATTGTGACGAGCTCAACCAAGCTGACCAGTTCGAATCCATAGAACATTAATTTATTTATCCAATGACAAATTATTCAAAGGAGATTCTTGGGATGAACCTACATACTATTATTCCTAAATGCAAGATAACTCTAATATGCGACATAATATATATATATATATATATATATATATATATATATATATATATATATTTATACATATATTTATATACATATAAATGCAAAGGACACACAATGCATATATATTACATAGCACACAATCCTAAGGATTTCCTTAGTGACAAAAAGAGTTTTAAATCAAGTGCTTTTGTGAAGATATAAGCAAGTTGATGATCCGTAGGTACATGATCCAACACAATAGTTCCATCTTCCACCAAATTACGAATAAAATGATAGCGAATATCAATTTGTTTGGTACGAGAATGTTGGACGGGATTTTTTTAATATTTATTGCACTTGTGTTGTCATAGAAAAGCTGAGCTGAATGTATCTTCATACCATATTCAGAGAGGATTTGCTTCATCCAAACCAATTGAGAGCAACAACTCCCTGCAGCAATGTACTCAGTTTCGGCGGTAGATAGGGAGATGTTGTTTTGTTTTTTGCAAAACCATGAGACCAGGTTCGATCCTATATAGAAACAACCACCGGAAGTACTATCATCAAGATTTCCCACCAAGTCTACATCGCAGTAACCTGCAAGATGTAGGTTCGTATCAGTAGAATAAAATAACCCATAGTCAGATGTACCTCCAACATATTTCATAATGTGCTTGACTGCCTTCAAATGAGATTCTTTGGGAGCAGCTTGGTACCTGGCACAAAGCCCAACACTAAAACAAATGTGAGGTCTACTAGCAGTAAGATATACGAGACTGCCTGTAGCGCCCTGTTTATTTATGGATTTATTGGGATTATTATAATGATATTTATTTTTATTATTATTATTTATTGTCATTATTATTAATAATATTATGAATATTTATTTAATGTCTAATTATAATTAATTGCCTAAATGTGTATTTGTATTATTATTAATTGAATTGTGTGAATTATATAAAGTGTCCGGATTTTATTTAATTTATCGTGCAAGAAACCGAGATATTTTCAGGCTAAGTTGAGCCCGTAAAATAGCAATAAAGCGAGCCTGAGAATCCGAGTCTTCGAAACTCACGCACATGAACCGACCCGATTAATAGAGAAACCCGCGAGCTCGAGCCATCCGAACCGAACCACGCCATTAAGTCGACCCGGCCCGTGTCCCCAGCCCAAAACCGGTCCGATTTTTCTTTTACGTGTGTGTGAGGGTGGTTTCTTGTGGGAGAAGATTTTAACCCTAGCCCTTTTAAGTCGATCGTTCTCCCTTCATTAGAAACACAAAAATCCCGCAGCTTTCATTGTCTGCTCATTCTCTCGATCGCAAGAGTAGAGAGAAAATCTTTCCATCGCAAATCTATCGCAGCCTTAATCTCTCTTTCTCTCACGTCAGACCGACCCCTCTCATCATCATCCTCTTGCCACCATCTCGCTGTCGCGACCAGCACCTCCGCCATCGCAGCAGCGACTCCTCCCGGCGAGCTTCGACGACGCAACTCCTCCTCTGTCGCGTCCCTCCGCCGCGGCCACCTCTCATTCCGGCGAGCATCATCGCGCAGCCCTTCGCTCGCTGCTCCTCGCCGTGAACCACCGCGACCAACCCTCTCGCAACTCACGAAGCAGCAACCCCGGCAACCCCAACAGTGCGCCGCCGCTCACCATCACCGCCGATGAGCTCTTCCCTCCGCGAGCGTCCTCCGAGAACCAATGATCCTCTGTCGTCAAGCTCTCAACAGCCGCTGCTCCTCCTCCGCGAGAAAAAGCCTCGCCGTCGAGCCACGAGCCGCCTTCGACGTGTCGTTTGATCCTTTCATCCCGTTTTTCGAACATATTCCCGAGAACGGTACCTAGGCTCGAACTCCGTCTTGTTTTATTTCGTGATATGTATTATTGAGAATTATTGTATGTTATCAAATCGAATATACGTAACTATTCAAGTGAAATCATAAGTTGTTATTGTCCTATCGTGTTTAATAAGACCGAGTTGGACCTCGGACAATGTGTTTTTGATATATTAAATGTTTAAGTCTTAAAATAGTGATATCGAGGCTTGTTTAACGTGTAAATTAAGTGATTTCGGTGCTATGATTGTTGTGCGAATGTATTGAGTTGTTAAAGGCATGAACACCCAAAAATCGAGCCTCAGTTGGGCTCTCTTTTTGTCGACCAAGATGTTATTTATTGGACAAGTGTTCTTCATGAGTTTTGTAGTTCTCTGAGTTAGGTTTCATTGAGCTTTTGAATTTAGTGATTTAGAGTTGAAATGAATTTTATATGAATTTTCAAAGATGGACGAGCATGCTGTTTTGATAAACGCGGGCAGAAAATTTGATCTTAGTTCATGACTATTTTTTATGATCTTAACGTGCCTGAATAAAAATATGTTCTTCATGACAAATGTAGTATATATTTGTAAGCTGCCTGTACGAATTGGAATTATGCAAATTGGAGTTTCGGTTGATTTAATATGATTTTTCTAAGTTGGATTTGTGCCCAGATACTTTGAAGCAGTGGCTGTGTATATGCATGAAATGTATGCTCTGAATTGATAGCTTTAACGTGGTTATATGTACAAATGATCTTCATGAAATTTATATCTCGCCCTGTGTAGTTTCTTTAGGTTTTGAGTTTGTATGATTTAGAGTTCTATAAGTTGAGTTATAGTTGTCTTACTGAAGTTCTGTAAGTTGTCCATTTTCATTTCTGGACTGCAGCAATGTTTTGTGATGTTGTTGAATTATCTATGTGTCGATGTCAGAATTTGCTAAAGTTTTCTTCATGAAAATTGTATCTTTATTTCTGATCTTTATATGAGTACCTGATTCATATTTTTAGCATGACTATAGCTCGAGTTATCCTCAAAATGCTGCCACCTTGTTTGAATGTTTTGACTACACCCTTATGTTGAATATTTTCTGATTTATCATGTGGATAATGACCTTGTTTGATTTTGAGTTGCTATGGAGAGCTGTAGATTTACATCTTAGGAATCACATTCCACTAGTTTCATGTTGTTACGATTTATGTGTTGTTAGAGGTGTTCATTTGAAAATTGTTGCGCATGTCATGTTTTACAAAATCACTAGTTTGATTCCGAAAATGGCACGCACCATCGAAATGCACGATTATATGACCTAAGTGAATTATTTCTTGATTCATGTAGTATGTTTGATCCTTAAATGCCCTTAGAGGTAAAAGTTAAGCAAGCCAAGATATTCAACAACCGAAAAGACAAACATAAAATGTTTTCAAAGAATGCAAGCAAGGCGAAGCCAAGCGAGCTAGTTTTCAAAGTTTATATATATGTATAAGACTAGCGAGAATAAGATAAGCCTTGATAAAATTCTAAGACAAGTACCAACGAATGTAGGTAATTGAGGAGTCAAGCCTCGACCTACGCCCTTGCTTGTCAAGTTATTTCAATCCGAAAATCCAGGTAGGTTAGTTATTCTAAAATACCCGTGCATGAATGTGTTTAGTTTTCCTTGAATGTGTTAAACGGTATGATCTATGAATGCATGTGAGCATGTAGCCTATCGATAGCCATCGGTACGGTTGTCCACGTAGATACGGTTACCCTTACGAGGTAAATCTCCTTAAGACCTTCAAATAAGCCCACAGTACCAGCGCCATCTCAGCAGGTCCCCAAGCCAAAGAAGAGAAAGGTCTAAGGTCTTTATAGGAGAGGAGATAGACGGAGGGGAGAGGCCCCAGCTCAGGTAGCCCAACCACCACAGTCGGTTCCACCAGCCTGCGCCACATGCCGACGTCCCCACCAAGGAGAGTGTTAGTCGGACAGAACGTTTGCTATCACTTTCACATACTCGGCCATACAGCCCGTACCTACCTTGACCGTGCCTAGAACCAGTAGTGGTAGCACCAGCTTGCCCCGAACCAGCAGAGAGGAGGAGCGTAGTTTTAGTTAGTTGCATTCATTGCATATCTGCGATTATGACTTATTTTCTATGAACTCGTTGGAGTCCTTTTGGTTTTTCCTTCTTTGCGTGCTTTGAGACTCCTCTGAAGTTGAAATTTAAAACCCAAAGATGTTGAATGTTTTCCCTATCAGTCCGGATTAAATTCTTATCGCATTGTCTGAAATGTTTCAATATTGCAAATGACCACGTAGTAAGTTCTTTAGCATTTGTTAAACTAAGTACGCGAATGCTACCCACGAATAGAGAGAGAAGGCTTCGTGGTCAAGAGTGGACGGACAGACGATCTGGAAGAGACCCAAGGATTCTAGCCAAGATTGAACTTAAGCTTCGAGTTGATAATAGACTCTAGATATTGTCTCGTACTAATGCTTTCATTTGAGCCTATGTGGTAACGGCCTCCAGTGTATAAAAGCCACTATTCCGGATTACGGTGGCAGCTTGACATAAGAGTCACTAAGCCAACTATACCATGGACGCTTGAAACCGGGCCGAGATGAACATAACTCTCAATACGAGATGACTTTTGTTGGTCAGAAGGAACTAGATCCTAGCCGCATTGCTACGTGCCGTGTGCAAAGTACCACGTAGTCATGTGTCGGAAAGTACGATAGAGAACCTGGAAATAATTCACCCTAAGAGCGAGTAATGACCTGCAAGTAGATCCTACCAGCTACATATCACTGGGTATAGGCCAAGTGTCCTTACGTCCCCAGATTCTAATGGAGTTCCAGCAAATTCTATTGAAGTGTACACTTGATTTATTAGCCAAGTGCCTATAAATCCGAGATTCTGATGGAGTCCCAGCGAATTCCATCGGAGTGTGCACATGAATTCTTAGGCAAGTGTCTATGAATCCCAGATTTTGATGGAGTCCCAGCGAATTCCATCAGAGTGTACACGTGATTTATTAGCCAAGTGTCTATAAATCCCAGATTCTGATGGAATCCTAGGGAATTCCATCGGAGTGTGCACATGAATTCCTAGCCAAGTGTCTATGAATCCCAGATTTTGATGGAGTCCCAATGAATTCCATCAGAGGGCACACCTGATTTATTAGCCGAGTGTCTATAAATCCTAGATTCTGATGGAGTCCCAGCGAATTCCATCAGAGTGTGCACATGAATTTCTAGCCGAGTGTCTACGAATCCCAGATTCTGATGGAGTCCCAGCGAATTCCATCCGGATGTGCACACAATCACCGGCCAAGTGTTCGGGAGTGGGCAGTGGAATCCTAGCGTATTCCTTCATTACATGCACACGATCACCGACCAAGTGTTCGGGAATCGGCAGTGGAGTCCTAGCGTACTCCCTCATTATGTACTCACGATCACTGACCAAGCGTCCGGGAGAGGATAATAACCTAATTTACCAGCCAAGTGTCTGAGGGTTAGCAACATATCAACTTAAGAGAGTATATGCCCACTGCAGTATACAGAAAGATTTAGAAATTTCGAGCCACAACCCTAGTGTTGAGTTTTGACTTGTGTCTGCAATTATAGTTGAGTTTGGACTTGTTCTTTAGATCAGTATTTCTGAGGGGAAATATTTTAAGGAGGATAGACTGTAACGCCCTAAATATTTTTACTATTTATGGAGCTCGACTTTATTTCCAGAAACAGCCAGTTTCCTTATTTGATGCATTTAATTATTATTACTATTTGAACTAAATCGAGTAATTAGTCTAAACCATGGTGTATTTATTCGATCTTTAATATTGAAATCGGATCTAGTTAGCCCAAGTATCGATTTTATTTTAGGAAAAAACCGAGCCCTGGAATAATCAGAATTTTATTAAGTCGGGTCGAAGCCTGGACGAGCCGAGCCTTGAACCAAATCATTCTCGAGCGAGTCCATTTTATTCCGGTCCACTTTAATAAATCGAGCCCATGTTCGATTTTATTCCGGCCCATTTATTAAATCGGGCCTATAATCGATTTTTAAAATCCCGGCCCCTATTATTTTATTCGGTCGACTAATTAAATTAGTCAAAGTTCCGGTCAAGTTTAAATTGACCCGAACATTAAATTCCTAAGTCATCGTTTGATTTTTACTAGCCGATTTTAAAAGCTCGATTTTAAGGCCCAATAGCCACATCTAACCCTAAGTCTCCTACTTCACTATAAATACAACACTCCATCATCTCCCAACACTCCTCATTCCATCTTCAACCACCCAAAACCCTAGATCTATCCACTTCCATAGCCTCAAGCACAAAATTCGGCCATTTGTACCCTTTTCCTGCGAAGCTCTGATCTCCGTCCAGTCACAACCCCACGCGGGCGACCCGAGTCGGTGTTCACACCGGCAAGCCGTTGCACCAGCTGGTTCACCCTAATCCAAGCCTTCCACGCCGTGCACATGCTACTGCTATCGAGCCACGCTGGTTCAAGCTCAGTCCCGCACGCGCGCTGCTTGTACGTCGTCGACCAAACCCGTACCATCGTCTGCACGCGCCCGTACAAGCAGATCCATGAAGCCCGTTGCACGGTTGACTCATCCCAGCAAACGCGCGTTCGATCCTGTCCCTACGCACCTCGTCCTCCCGCATCCGTACACCGACGTTTCCAGCAGCCAACGCCCGTCACCCATCCGTACCGACGCGACGAACAACTCCCGTCCACGACCAGCTGCACCAGCTAACCGGATCCATGACCGAACGAGCACCCGAGCCACTTATGTCCCAACTGCGCCTAAATTGACCCTCCCAGCTCAGATTCGAGCTGACCCGGGTCCGGTCCGTTAGCCGATCCGATTTCTTCCATCCCGATCTATTTTTGATTTACCGATTCGAGCCGACTTGAGGTAAAATGGCTTGAACCCGACTCCAATGGCTTAGATATGTTTATTGAGATGTTATAAAAATGAAAATTTGAAAATTTGAGTGAGATTTGATTTATTGAAAATTTTACGAGCTTGAAATGGCGATTTTTTGATCTCTTAATATAAAAATGATTAAATGGTGATTTAAATTTATAAATCATAATTCGATGTCTTGAGGCTTAGGTGCGAATTTGAGAATTTTTGGGGTTCGTTTGATAGGCGAACTGATTTTATATGTATTTGACAAGTTGATGCTCGATTCTAGTTAAATGGGATAGGAGTTTAATTGGGATATGATACTTTTACCATAAATCATGTGTGTGCTGAGGAAGTTATGTTTTAAATTTCATAATTTTTTGATGTCGTTTGGTATAGTTTAAAAATCGTGACTTTAGCCGTAATTTGCGATAATTTTAGAAATTAGCCATTTGTGGTTTTAGCGGCAGTGGTTGGATGTAAAATCCTTATAAATCACATAGAACTTAGGATTTAATTATCAGTTTAACTGACTTAGGATTTTCAGGAATCAAGAACTCTAGTTTTATACGGTTCCGATAACCAGGTAAATTTGGATCCGAGTCTAATCGCCCGAACCCTAGTACCGTTTAAACAACTTTAAACATCGTAAGATTATAAACTAGTACTTGGGTGTCGGGACGTGGTCGGTCGGGCGGTTAGTCGCCGACGGAACCATGACCGAGCCTAAGAAGGCTATCGAGGTCGTATGCCTCGTAGCGATCGGAAATATCCAATCGACGTGAATTAGCACGTATCCTTAACGCGTATCATCGTCCTGCATACGTGTCATATTCTCGTCCGATTGTTGGAGCCCAGCCACCGAGTGCATGCCCGTGCACCAAGTCCGACCGAGTCGTGCCCCTGCGCTCTGTTCAACGCCCGTGCGTCCGTCCGACCTACCGTCAACGCGTTAATCTCTGTTAGCCATTGTCCAAGCACGCCCCTGCGTCAGTGACTGTGGCACCTTTCAAACCCATGCATTGACAAGCCGTGTCAGCTGTTTTTGTGCAAGCCCCGAGGTGCCATGTCGAACCCGAACCACAGTTAAGCCAAGCTGCACATAGTCAAGCGAATGATCGACTGGTTCTGAGTGAGCCGTCGGTCCAGTTCAGTCGAATCAGTCCAAGCAGTCCAGATGGTTCGAAGAGAATCCCAGTTCAGCCGAATCAGTCAGGGTGATTCAAGAGATTCGATTCGGAACATCGGTTTGAGCGTGAATCGAGAATCAAGTTTTTCCAAACCAGTAAGATAAAAGTTAGTCAAGATTAGATCCAGCCAGATTAGATTCAGTCGGACTTAAATCCAGCCAGAATGTAGTCCAGACTTAGAAATATTTTCGAGGACTTTAGTATGCCTCAAAGACAATAAATGTTCAAATCAACTCGTAAATTCCTAAAATGAGTTTTAATTGATTTTTAAAACCAAGTGAGCGAATCTAGTCAGATCAGATAATAAGATTTGAGTTTTCGTATTGAGCTAAGTACTTAGAATATACATTATGCTTATATATTTTGTAGTTTGTAGGAGTCGAGCCTCCGACAGATGCAATCCATTCAGCATTTGCACTTCAACATATCATGTGGGGACCCTGTACTAGATACTACATTTTGCTGGCTGAGGTATGTATGCAAGAGTTAGTTTGCCCGAATAGTGGCAATAACCTTGCGAGTAGGTTCTTTCTAGCTGAACTGAACGCTAGTTAAGATGAGATAATAACTCTAGTTCAGCTTTGAGTTAAGTGAATTAAGAACCTTAGTACAGTTTTGAGTTAAGTTGAAATTTCTGATGAGGTTAGAATATTTCTTCCCTAAAGGGTAACAACCTAGAGGTCGGTTCCTTTATAGCCAAGTGTCCTCCTCCTCGTAATACGAGCAGCAGTAATAGTCAATTCGACGAGCTGCAGTTGTAGTCAGTCAAACGAGCAACAGTTATAGTCAGTCACTCGAGCAGCAGTTATACTCAGTCAGACGAGCGGTAGTTATACTCAGTCAGTTGAGCAGCAGTTATAGTCAGTCAGTCGAGTAGCAATTATAGTCAGTCAGTCGAGTAGCAGTTATAGAAAGTCAGTTAAATAGCAGTTATAGATAGTTTACTTATTTATGTATTTCTTAGATGTATGTTTAATTCGCGATCCATTAGTGAATGTTTATCATCGTATCGTTTCTGCCAATCCAGTAAGTATCTGCATATGTGTCGTAGTCCTGATATGTTATTATATTAGTTGTATATTCAGTGACGGTTCTGGCAGAGCATCGTTGATTCATTTATGCTCACGCCTCCCCCACTAACCATTTTTCAGGTGACAATGTCGAGGGTGGAGCGTGAGCCGATGAGTGGTGGTGGTGGTCAGAGCGAGGACATTTTTTATTGAACATGTCATGTATCTATTTGAACATGTTTAGATTACTATGTTTTGTTGCATACTTATTTGCATTTGCTTCCGCACTCAGAACAGTATTCAGAATTCAGTTTATGCATGTCTAAAATCCTGAGATTTTCATGGCGCCTTATTCGAGTAATGAATTATATCTCGCTTGCATGCATAATAGTAAATGAGAACATAAATGAGAATTCAATTCAGTTTAGTAGCATCCTGCAGTCAGATTAAAGTATTTTCAGAAAATGTAAATTGAGTTTTTGAAAATTAAATCAGTGTTTTTCCATTTATAGTGCGAAAAATTTACTCTGATTTTAGTAAGTTTAGACGGGGTGTTACATATAATGCCTGGGGGCCTGCGAATTGCATGTTGTGGGTCGTGCGAGTCTCCTGCAGTGGTCGCCGTGTGTTGTCGTTTCTCGTTCGGTTGCGCCAAGCACCGCTGGTACTGTCGCCATGTTCGGTGGTCGCTGATGGTGTAGCACACCGAGTTCTGGGATTGTTGGATAACTCACGGGAATAAATATATATTTCTCAGGATAACCTTTTGATCTTTAATTGTATAACTGATCACCTACTCCGATTTCCCGTGGTGGACG